TTTTGGAATCCGGACCAAGACTCGTAGTCTGAGTCACCGAAAATCCATCGACTGCGTGGACTTGCCATGGCTGCGGAGTCAGAGTCCGAGTCGATCGTATAAGTCGACAGTTTTGCCCGGAGTCAGAGTTGAAATTGACTTTTGAAAGCCGTAGTCGGAGTCGGAGTAACTTCATCGACTTCACAGCCCTGGCCTGGTAAGCACATCACCCGTCGTAAGCTAGTTCTCCTTACTTTTAGAGGCGGAACTATGCCATTATATGTCAGCAAGCATTTATAATGCATCGTAAAAGGTCTCACATAGGTTTAAGTGTCAATTTTGAAACCAGGGAACCATTTTCAACGGATCCGAGCAGCGCTGGGATTTAATTCGCGCTAAACTGGTGTTTGGCCACACTGTGACCGGTCTGACCCGCACGGAAAGACTGCAGTCACGCCACGGAGACCGCCGCCAGCTGACGGCACGGGACAATCAGTTCCAACGGCGCCGGGCGGTATACTTCTGGGGCTGCTGAGGACCTGTTCTGGTGGTGCTTACGCATCAGTCGCGATTGTTTTCATGAGAGCGGTCGATTGTTCGCTGAATGTGTCTAGTGGCTGTGTTTATGGTGGAGGGAAAGTGTTAGAAAAGAAACGGGAAACCCCAAAAGCGGATTAAATGCGTCTATTCTGATGAGAGCTATTGATCAATCGACTCAATTGATGAACCAAGTGAAAATTATTCTTTTTACAGGACTCTTTGCTATTGGTTTTTATGACGCAGCCTTCCAAGTTCCAAAAGACATAGCGACTATTCATGCAAAATGTCAATGTCATCGGCAGAATGACTTGCCAGTCAGCTGAAGGATGTTTCCTCCACTTGATGGCGCGTTTGGAGGACTCTGTGTTTTGCTTCTTCCATAACCCATGTGAAACTGCATCTTCCGCGTGTTTATCTCAGCCACGCACTACGCATGAGTCAACAAGTCACAGAACACACGCAACCATTATGGATGGCGCGACTGACGTCATCAGGGATGACAGCCACCGAAAGCCACTCGTCCAAAGTCCACCTATCGACAGCGCGGGGCCTTCCCGGTTACCGGCCGAGCCCGCGGCGGGCGACCGGGAGCCCCTGGCGAGCAGCTCCCGGCAGTCGAGGCTACCCCCGGCGGGCGCGTGCCCCTGTGACGCTCTGACAAAAGCAGTTGACTGCCAAGGCCGACGGGCGCCCCGGAACTCGGCACAAATGCCGCTGATCGGTGGGCCGCGACCGATGCATGCCCCCGGGCACTGCCGGGATCGGGTAAGGTCGAGAGGTTTAAACGGCGCAGATTTACGGGGCGTGACAGATAGCTGACATTGCGGGCGGCTGAAGTGGCGCACTCATTGTGACGGGAGTGCACGCAGAACGTGATTATAGTATGCAGCCAATGTCACAGGCATGCGCTTCTGGGGTGTGCCCTCAGCCCTGCATTCCGGAAGCTCTCAGCCTGTCGGTTAGCAAATATGAAGTTAGTGAGAAAAATAGTCGGGCTGGTATCTAGGAATTGTAGCACTTTAAACATTTCCATAATGCAAAATTGATTGATATCCCGAGCTAAAACTTAATGACACATTTGTATGCCTACATAGCTATCCAAACATTACATGGAGGCCGTAAAAAGTCATATTCCCAAAGTTCATCTTTGTATTAACTTAGAACAATTCTCTTTTTGGTTGAAATATTTTGTCGCTTTCTTTTGCACTTCACCTTCCATTAGGTAAAAGGGTAACAAAACTTGAGAGCTAGCATTCGAATAGAATAACGTAAACGCAAAAATCCTCCTAGACCTCTGCCGCGCTCTATACCTTCTGCTGAATATGATGACTGCCGATCCGGCCCTCCCCCGGCAGGCCGGCCTCATGGGACGTCGGAGACCCAATGGCCGCCCTGACCCGCTCAGTGCCATCGGTCTGCGCTTCTGCGCCGATCAGCAGCGCTTTTTGTCGCCGTTGTGTCACTCCCTCCGTCCATTAGGGCTGATCTGGTCTCTGGGAGCCGCGGGATCAAGGATAGGGGAAAAGTAGGCCGAACGAACGGACCTCCGTCTCAGAAGCGAGAGGTCAGCCCGTATCGGCGGGGTCGCCGCCACTATATCGGCGACTTATGGAAGCAAAGCGGCGCGAGAGATCGCTTTATACGCCTACCGGGCGGTAACCGGACAAAAGATCGTAAAGCAGAAGATCGTATGGCAGAAGATCGTAGGCAGTTGATCGTATGCAAAATATCGTAATGGATAAAGATCGTACGACATAATGCTCGTATGGACAAAAGATCGTATTCGCTAAAGATCGTCAAGGAAAATGATCGTATGCCAAAAAGTCGTAATGAATAAAGATCGTACGACATAATGATCGTATGGACAAAAGATCGTATTCGCTAAAGATCGTCAAGGAAAATGATCGTATGCCAAAAAGTCGTAATGGATAAAGATCGTACGGCATTATGCTCGTATGGACAAAAGATCGTATTCGCTAAAGATCGTCAAGGAAAATGATCGTACGTCAAATGATCGTATGAGATAAAGATCGTACAGTCAAAATATGGTATTCACATGGTGCAGCCCAACTCCAGCGCATACAAAGCTTATCAATTTCTGTGTTCGCGTAGTAAGTGGCCGTCGTAAGCTCGACCATAGTCCACTGGCGGTCGCAGCCGCTAGCAAAAGGGGGGGGGCCAAAGTCACACTCGCAGGACATAACATTTATCCGTCACCGGGAGGGGGGGATCGGCTAATTTTTTACGTCCACGAGGCGCCGCGCAGTTGGCATTACTTATGCTTCGTCCATCTCACTCTTACGTGAAATATTTAAGCTCAATTTAAGGCAAAATCACCAGTTCCATTTCCCGTCCCACGGTGCTTCCACCGGTCGGGCCACTGCACCATGACGACGGATCGGTGTAGCATAGGTATACTGGAAGGTCAGGCACGCGGATTCATGACCTTACCACTATAAAACAATTCGGAAATGTACAGATACCTCTTGCTTTGAACAAGCATGTGAAACCCAGAGAGCATTTTCAGACTATGACATTTACGCATATAGGTACGTAGTTGTGTGGCGGCAGCAGAGCGTAGGTACACCGACCTCTGGAGACCCCCACAGGTTCCGAGCTTTCAAAATTGGCATCTGAGGGCCGCGCGCGACTCCTGCGGTGCTTCGCAACGGCTCTATTGGGGCTCACTCAACCTGCCTAGTCCTGCTAAAAAGACTGGCCCTGAGCCCTAAGGACTTCATCAGCCTCTGCCAGCCCCAGGACCCACATCGGCTCATGGGGTCCCGACGTCGAAATATGAGGGAATCTGCGCGGGACCATCAGGACGTAAAGTAATCTCGATCAGGACCAACGTAAGGCTGTGCCGGAGACTGCGTGAGCCCTCTGATCTTCAGAAACCCACCCATGTATGTTTTCACGTAGAGGCCAGTTTAGGGCCCTCAGAGACCAATACAGGGCCTGGAAACTACAAAGGCCAGTAGTTTGAGACCATCAGAGACCGAGTTGGGCTCTCAGAGGCTAATGTGGGTCCTTACTCATTACAGGCCAACATGGGCCCTCAGAGGTCAGCGTGGGGCCCTAAAAGACCGGCATGTAATTACCGAGTTACTGAAATGGGAACAAATTTGGCACCTCTTCTTTTTGTATTTTGCACGTGCATTGGGGGTCACTCACATAGATCAAGGGTATCCGACCTTTGGTAGAAGGGATGCAGCTACCCTATAAAAATTACCGCAAGGCAATCGCTCAAGCCGCTGCTGAGATATGGGCCTCTCAAAATCATTACTTTTGCAAAACTGCTTGAACACCCTTGACTTCTCACGTGGCACGTGCCACGACGGCCACTGAGATGTATCAAAAGTAGTCAATTACGGGGAAGAAGGGATGGGGCTACCCAGCAAAAAAGACCGCAGGCCAATCGGTTCAGCGGTTGCTGAGATATAAGCCTCTCAAAAGCGTTACAGGCCGGGCCGGGCCGGGCCGGGCCGCTCATTCTGAGATTTTCCCATTATATTCAAAAGACTTCGCTTCGCTCGCTGCGCTCGCTCGCTCGTAACAACACTATTCTATACGATTATTTACTTGACGAACGTAACGTTACGATCTTTTGTCGAACGATCTTTTACAACATACTATCTTTATCTTACGATCATTTTCCTACGATCTTTTTTGTACGATCCATTGCTTTACGATCTTTTGCTTACGATCCTTGGTCGTACGATCTTTTGCGACATACGATATTTAGCTTACGATCATTTTCCTACGATCTTTTTCATACGATCAATTGCTTTACGATCTTTTGCTTACGATCTTTTTGTCGTACGATCTTTTACAACATACGATCTTTATCTTACGATCATTTTCGTACGATCTTTTGCATACGATCAATTGCTTTACGATCTTTTGCTTACGATCTTTTTACCGTACGATCTTTTACAACATACGATCTTTATCTTACGATCATTTTCGTACGATCTTTTTCCATACGATCTTTTGTCTTACGATCTTTTGTCACGTAATCCTACCGGGCATATGTCACGATGTCAGCTCAAATGCATACGCATTATAAAAGTGCAGTCTTCCGATTAGGAATGGTTAGAGTTACTGGGGAGGGAGCAATTCCTTTTTTGTCCTATAGGTAATAATTGTGCCTGCTAAACCATTTTACGATAATAATATCAGCCGCTCACAACTTAAATTAGGATCTAGATAGACACAAGGCACACTTGCAGTTGGTTAGGTCAATAATTTTCATCGAGATGTGTGTCAATCTAAGCGTTTTAATGAGAATGCGTAACACATGCATCTGTCCCTATGAGTTTGCCGCCAGTCCACCAACCCAGTCCGACCTTTGAGCCCTCCCAGACACCTGTCTGCGTTCGTCGACAGCCGGTGCTAGTTACGGAAGCTGCCGACAGGTGGCAGGAGCGGCGCTCGATAGCCGGGGGCGATGCTCCTGGCCGGCCGGCGGCAGGTGCGTTTCCCTGGAGCCGCGGCCGGCGCGCCCGGCGCTCGGTGTCAGTGGACTGCGTGCCGTGCTGGGGAGACGGGGTGTCGGGCCGCACGTGTCGCGTGTCAGTGCGGGTGTCAGAGTGTCAGACTGTGTCACCTGACCGGTGTATCGGCCAGTCCAGTCCGTGACCGGGCCGCGCGCCGCCCCAGCTCGGACAGTATGCCCTCCTACAGCTACAATGTCAGCGTGAGTGCGTCTGTTTTTGTCCGGCGCGGTGGGAGGGGACAGCCGAGGGAAGGTGGGCGGCCTTGGCGGGACGCGCGCCCTTTGGGTCGGCTCGGCCCGGGGTAAGGGCAGGCAGGAGGGCGGCCGCTGTGACCCACATACCTACCTCCTCGGCGGGCTGCCTGAGACGGTCATCGAGAGCGATACAAATACCAGCCACCTGGCGTGGTGCCCCATATTGTTATTAGGTCTGGCAGGGTTACACAAACAAAAGTTATTTTGGGTTAATTATACGAAACCTGACGTACTCAATTAATTACATCGGCAAAAGTAGGTATGCTCGCACGTCATTTTATAGAAGCTACTTATAGGTATGCATATGAGTGACGCAGTCCAGAGCTCCCTTCGAGGATTTGAACATGGCTCTTGCATCAGCATAATACATATTTTTATTCGCCAATATCGATATGCGATCCGTATGAAAACGCTCACATCACACGTGATTGCCTCGGATAGTCGGTGCGATCAAAATTACTTTAGGTGCCATGGGGCAAATAATCCCAAACGAATTCCGTTCCGTGCGTCACACGGAAATATTTATCTTCCCGTCTGCAGGCGTGGGTGCATGTAGCGTGGTGGACGGTGGTCAATGTCAGGTGCCTCTACATTCTACAATACGACTTGTTCTGCATCCGGTTTACAAATATTATTAACAATCATTATAGCTTATGTGAAAATTTGAACACTTCACTTAACTAAAAAATCTGATGTGCCCTCCAAATGTAAATCACATGACAGTTCCGTGTGTTCCTCGGTGAGTCCCTTTCAACGCCGCCTTGCGAGCCTCGCTACGATGTTTGGTAATCTAGTTTTAGCCCGCGCCCCGTTGGGCTCTGCCGAGCAACGCGCCCGGTTGGGGGGGGGGCCATTTTGGCCCCCCCCCCTAAGATCTCGAGAACCACGCAACATAGCGACAAGCAATAAACGGCGTTGGATAGCCCCAACGGGGAACTACCTTGTGACCCAATTTTATTGACCTAGGTCAAACCGATGACGTCACAGGTCAGGTCAAAGGTCCAATTTTCACCGTTTACAGGCATTTCAAGAAATGCGTTGTAAAATCGAGTAAAATGCATTTCATTGAAAATCATCGATGGGGAAATGTTCTTCAAACACATATTTTGCTATTTGAGGTCACTGATACCAGGTCAGGTCACAGAGGTCAGGTCACGGGGGGGTCACAATATGAAAGTGTCGTGTGATACATGTTTTATGGTCCATTTTACATGACAAATGCGATTATGTGGGTCAGGCAGCCTTTGGGGCCAGCTAAGGTCACATTTTGGTCAAGGTCAGGTCAAGGTCAGGTCAAGGTCAGGTCAAATTAGGTCAAATTTCAAAGTTAATTTTTTGCATAAAATGGGTATCAAATCGATGCAGCTCGTCACGGGGAGTTCAATGGTGGTCTTTGTTTTGCCGTACGTGGTCTAGAATCGCTAAAAATTGAGTTCAAAAATTTGACGTCATCATTTTTGAACAGTTTTTTTCGCTATAACTTGGCCAAAAAACGAGATATCGATCTGAAATTTGGTATGTATATAGAAGAGCGCCGGGACTATCACATTTATTCCGGTTTTTTTCGAAATTTGGAAAAATTTTGTTTTTTTTTAGTTTTTCTAAAAAAAATCAGTTTTTTGATTTTTTTTGGTCAAAAACCAAAAATTTTGAAAATCCGAGATAGCAGTTTTGTAGCGCCGCTGTTTGTCTACTAGACCATATAAAGAACTTTGAAATTGCTTGATAACTGTAGATTTGGTGAGCGTTTCAAGATTGCATGTTTTTTGCTCATTTTTGCTCGAACATGACCTCAGTTTGACCTCAATAACTCCTGACCTAAGGTGACCTAAGACTTGAAATTTGGTGTGAAGGTGTCAAATTGATGTTCGAGAAGGTATTGAAAATTTGGCGGCGCTGCGCGCCGCCGTTTTCTTGCTATTCAGGAAAAACCACAGGGGGGCCAAAATGGCCCCCCAACGGGGCGAGGGTTAAGTTTGGAGATAGTATGGGTGGAGTTGGGGGATAATTGTCCCTTCTCCTCAGTCAATGGCGTTCGGCTGGAGGCTGAGTCAACTCAGGAGCGGATTAGCGTCGGATGATCGAGTCTATTAACCTTCGCCCCAGTGGGGGGGGGCATATGTTACCACCCTGTTGCGTTTTTTGCGTGTAAATAAAAAACCGCGGCGCGTAGCGCCGCGCCGCTTGGGGTAGCCTTTGGTACATCAATTTTGGACAATGTGTGAAATTTTTGACCCCAGGTCATGTCAGGTCAGGTCACCAGGTCAAGTTAACTGACCAAGCCTAAAAAAGTTTGCAATCATGTCCAGCCTGCAGTGTTTGTCAGAAATGTTTTAAACTTGGTGGATTGCATGATGTTATGGGCGCCTACAATTTGTATATCTCGGATTTTTTATATCCGTGACCTAAGGTCAGGTCAGTGGCGTGACCTTTCCATTACAAGTCAATGGAGAAAAATGAAAATGCCTCTAGATCCGTGTGTACGCATAGGAACAGTCCAAGTATTTCAGGATCACAATGATTTGGACCACCCGTGATGACCAAGGTGTCATTTTTGCTGATAGCCTCTAGAAAGGTCATCGGAGGTCATTTGAGGCCACAAACAGATTTTTGCCAATAACTCGCAATTGGAAAGAGATAGAACGCTGGGGATGGTCTCATTGTGTTTGTCTTGCCGAGACGCATCGACTGATAACAACACGACCTTTTCTGGTCAGGTCATGACCTTGACCTGAGGTCAAATTTTCAAGTTGACCTTTCAAGGTCAAATTATAGTTCATTCGACGCGTCTCGGCGAGAGGTACACGATTCTGGCGATAGAAATGTCGTGGCTTTTTGTTATCGAAAGTTATTGTCGAAAAACCCTTTTCGTAAAAACAGCTATTTTTGGAGTTTTTGCCCTCTGGAGGCTAAACTCGTGACCTGAGGTCAATTTTGATAATAACCTTTTCAAAAGAAGAGTTCAAGAGCTATCGATTGCTTTTCCATGCGTTTTTCTAGCTACCATAGTTCCTGAGATAACGGCATGTTTTCTGAAAAATATAATGACATTTGGCAAATTTTGACCTTTGATGACCTCTGGTGACCCCAATATTGCTCTAAGATGAAAAATGACTCAAATACTTTCAAACGTACGCATTGAGAGCTATCGACTGCTTTTTACCGCGCCTTTCTAGCCCTCTTAGTTTTTGAGTTAGGGGTGGGTGGTAACATATGCCCCCCCCCCCCCCCCCACTAGGGCGAAGTTGGCTGAGATCGCCACTGGGGCGCGGGTTAAAAAAGCACTGGAGGAAAATGGTCTATTTATCTAACTTACTATTCCAACAGAATCCGTCTGTCTGTGAGTCTGTGTGTCCGCACATCGTGTAGTGGGTTCAAGTAACCTCGCCTACAGGGCAGACGGTACGGCTTAGGGGGCTGAAATTTGCACACCCTCTAGGTGACAGAGCGGGTCAACGCCTTTTCTAGGTTCCAACTCGCTGGGGTACATGGTTGGCACGTGGCGGGCGCCGGAAGAACGCTAATGAAATTTTGATCGGTTCGTAGATCTTCATTGAGAGCCGGGGTCGACAAACTTTGTGAGCTAAATGCATGCCGATCGGCGACGGGTGCCTCGCATTGGCGGATGGGCAAGTTTTAATTTGAATAAAAAGTGGCGAGAGAATGTGTTGATTTTCGTTCGATGGGAACAGTTTGTGATACGATTTTACAAATTCACCGCATTTGCCGCAATGCGCCACAATTATCTCAGGGCGTCATTTTTGCCGCAAATCGAACAGTTTTGTTAAATATGGTCCGATATGGGCGCAATTAGGTGCAAAGATGCATGCTCAATCACCGGGTGAAAATGCGCCACGTTTGCTGCCGCCGTTTTTGGTACACCTTATCATACATCAATTCTACACATGTTGTGAAAATTTCAGACCAAGGTCATTTAAGGTCAGGTCACCAGGTCACTTGAAGTGACCTCACCTCATAAAAACTTTCAATGTCTGTCATAGCTACACCGAGTGACCGATCGCTTTGAAACTTTCAGCGATTGCTAAGAGCAATAGCATGTACAAAATGTATATCTCGGAATTTTGATATCGATGACCTAAGGTCAGGTCAATTTTGCGACCTCCCCATTATAAGTCAATGGGAGAAAATTGAAATGCGCCTCTTTTGGATGAAAGACATTATAAACACTCCCAAACACCGAATTACAAGTGGTTTAGACACACTGAACTTGAAAATGGTGTCCGTGACCCTTGTTTATGCCCTGAGGTCATCTTAGGTCACGAATGGTATCTAACAGTTTTTCGCAAATAACTTTTGATAGAGGCATGCTAGAGCGATGAAAACGCCCTAGATGTGTTCAGCTCGACGATACAGATCGACTGATATGCAACATGACCCTTTCCGGTCAGGTCATGACCTTGACCTGAGGTCAAATTTTCAAGTTGACCTTTCAAGGTCAAGTTATAGTTCATTCGATGCGTCTTGACGAGAGGTACACGATGCCGGTAAAAGTAAGCTCGTACAAGGCTTGGGTCAAAAGTTATTGCAGAAAAACTGGTTTCGAAAAAATCGGCTATTTTTGCAGTTTTTGCCCCCTGCAGGCAAAACCGTTGACGTTAGGTCAAATCTGAGAGAATTACTCAGAAAGGGCGTTAATAGGGCTATCGAATGCGCTTTTCCGCGGCGCTGTAGCTCTATTGGTTCCCGAGTTATGCGTTGGCTTCTTGGAAATTTTCGACATTCGACCTGGAAATCGGCGAAATTTTGCCTTCAATGACCTCTGGTGACCTGACCTTTGACCTGACCAAAAAATTGACCGAAGTGATTTCGTCATTATTTTTTACGCTCTTTCGAACGCCGCCTTCCGCGTATCGCTACGTGGCCCAGGAGCCGAGTTACAAGGGGGGGTGTTCAAACACCCCCCCCCCCCCCCAGCAGGGCGTGGA